AAATTTAGTGGATTGTCTTTTATTATGAAGATAATTAACTAGAAAAGTATGATTAAGAATAAAAGGGAAAAAATAAAATAGAGTGTTACAAATATTGCTTCCAGGAAAAATATTAACAAAATCATATCTTCTATGTAGATAATAGCCCAATGAAATGAGCTTTTAACAACAAAAACAACAATAATTATAAAAAATAAAATCATTCATCATTTTGACTGTAACTTCAGGTCTTCAAATGTAACCTGCAAGGCTGCAACTCGTTTCTACTACTAACTTGTGTCATGTTTTCTTCAGTTTTTTTATAATGGTTTCTCAATTGTTAAAATTATTTTTGAATGTTCTGTAAATGTGTCAACATATATATAATGATTTCAAAATTAATTACTAAATGAAATTAGAACGTCTTGGTTTCTCATAAGAAACAAAAGTAATACTAATAATAACTAACTGTGGTAATGAACATTAAAAACAACATGCTAAATGTTATTTACATTCAAGCCAACTCCAAGTAATTAATACAAAAATACATATAGTAATTATTACATTTAAGAGAATATTTTTTTTTTATTGATTTTACACTGCTTGATTTGGGACATTATGCCTTAATATCTAGTTATAAAATAATATATATATATATATATATATATAATACACATGATAAACATATGTTACTCTATTACTCTTTCATTACAGTATTACTAAAATCAATTATCTAAATTCCGTCATTATATAATTTGAAAAGTCAAATGTGTAAATCAATATGAGAAAGTGGACTAACTCGATTTCAAATTAACTAGTACCTGAATATCAATTAAGAAGAGCTTGATGTAACAAAAAAAACAAGATTTCCCATTAAATAAATCAATAATCTAGATTTGAGCAACAAATAATTTGATAAACCAATTGGTAAATCAACCTAGCAAATATATTAATTTGGTTTTAGATCTACAAATAGCTAAATTTCAATTAAGAAAAGTTGATGTAAAATTTTTTAATTAAATAAACATTAAAACCCGAACAAAGGGAGGAGACTATTGTTTTTGAGAAAAGCGGCAGTGGAAGGTGTCCTTTTCGCTCCTTAAACTTTTTTTTTTTTTTGTACTTTAAGTTTGCGTTAACCATAACCGATACAAAATTACAAATACACAAGCGGAGAAAAATCTTTTAAACATTGCTGTAATATATTTTTTTGGTTCCTCTGTAAAATGTAATTGTAATCTGTGTTTGGATGTTACAGGGGCCAAGAAAGACAAAACCCACCAGTCTTCGCGGCTTTCTCATGTTTGAGCACTCGGTTTTTATGCACTTTATAGAGAGAAAAAAAGGAGCAGAAATTGTGTGTTGGGATCACGCCATAATCGCCAGCCAAAGCCGGGCCTTTTCTCTTTTTCCAGCCGTTCATAAGTGGCGTTTTACATGTCCTGAATCTCATTCTGCTGTCATTTTCAGGTATACTTCATGTTCTGCTGCTGTTCTTTGTTCCTCCGTGGAAAAAAATCGTTTCTTTATAGTTCTTGTTAATATTTCATTATGTGTTCTGCAGGGAAGAATTTGAATGGATTTGCGTTTTGGTATGTTTTTTGGGTGTTTAAAAATGAGTGACATTTGAAGGAGAATTTAAAATTAAATGCATTTTTTATTTTTTTAAAAGTGAATGCTATTCAATTCCATTAATTCTTGAATCCAAGCCTGAACATTTTTTATTTTATTTTTTTCTAATTCTTGTTTTGTTTGTTAATTTACTCCACTGGTGAAGTGGGTATTTACTCTTTTTAGTTGTTTTATGCATTGCTAATCCTAGTTGAACCTGAAAATGTGTTTCCTGTCGGACTTTATACGAGAAGTTCTTATTTTATTTTATTATATTTTTTTTGTGTGTATTGTGAATAAAGGGTACTCATTTTTATTAAATTTAGTAAATTCTAGTGGTAGAAAATAATACATTTGGAGTAAATTTCATCCCCAACAGAGTAGTGAACCATCAAATTATTGGTTTTGTGGGTGCTGTTTTTCTGCTCTTTTAAAGGCTATCCTGAATTTCTGTGTACATATTTATATATTCTTCCCATTCCTTGTTTTCGGGTAAATCTGTTTTGTGATTTTATACTTAGTGCATCACTCAGGTAAATGCAGTGGATGTATGTTAAGAAATGTTGTTGTTTTCTGTAACTCCTATATGCCTTCATGTGTGATGCTGGCGAAGAATTGTTGGCTGTATTTAATGGTTCACATCATGTCTTGGAAGATTCTCTTTTATTTTATACAATTAATTTTCAGCCAGATTTATTGGCCGTGTGGTTACGTTTGTCCTACTTCCTTTCTCACAAAATATAGTGAGCTCCCTCTTAGATCTTTCACTCTTGCTTGCAGCTCGTAAATCTGTTGAAGATTTGGTCGATAACTTGATTCTGTAATATCACTCTCTCTCTCTCTCTCTCTCTCTCTCTCTCTCTCTCTCGGTAACTTACTGACCTGATGGAATAATGCTGTAATTTATCTTGCTTGAGTCTTCCTGTGTGCTTTTGACTCAGTTAATCGTATTTGTATCTTCCATATGCGTGTGTTGTTCGAACCAGGAGATTTCATGGCTGCTTCGAGTTATTTTTGTTCAAATGCATTTCTCTCTGTGTGGTGTGTCTCTCAGTATTTACTGATTTTCATAGCTGCCATGCAGATTAATGAAAATGGTGTTAAAGTAAAATAAGGTTCTTTGAAGTTAAAGGTAGACTAAACTCTTATGTTTACCCAATGTAGCTTGAGTGATTGTCATTATGAAGATCAAATAAAAAAAAAAGATAATCTGTCTTGTTATGTTTTCCATGCATTTTACCATGTGCAGTTTCTACATTTTTACCTTCTTCCACGTGTTCAACGTGTCTTGCGGCGCCCCAAATCGAAAACGGTAATTTTATCTGGCGGCGGTTGGATTATTAAACTGCTTTTGCTTTTCAAGTTCTTTTTTTTTTCCCCACGTGCAGTTTTCTTACCTTTTATGTTACTACATTTCCCTCGCCTTCCACGTGTTTACGCCTTGTGGCAAACCCGGGAATTAAGTCGAATTCGAATAATCTTATTGCTGGATTGCTTTTCTCCTTGGCTGCTTTCGTCAAAGCTATCTATGATAATCCGTTATTTCATTACTTTTCGGCCCCATCATTAATTTGTCGAGATTCCAATCGCATTGTTAACGTCATAACTGCGGATAGCCGACCAAATCTACCCGATCGTTTTCTTTATTACACGTCTGTTTGTCACTATACAAAATCTATACTTTCTGAATTTATCGACATATTTGCTTCTGATTGATATTCTTGATTTCTTTTTTTGTACAGAGGCCTAAATCTTTACCCCCTCTTAACACAAACCACTTCAAGGACACCTCATGGGTAGTAGCTTCCCTTCTCATCAGCTAAGCAATGGGCTTTACGTATCGGGCCTACCCGAACAGCCCAAGGAAAAGACATCAACTAAGTGCTCTGTGGCAGTGCCTTACACCGGAGGAGACTCAAAAAAATCGGGTGAGCTCAGCAAGATGTTCGTCATCCCTCCAGACGGGTCAAAATCTCGGAAAACTGGGCCCATGATCCAATCGGGCTCTGCAGCCCGGGCCAGCTACTCCACCCCAGGCCCAGTTTCATCCATGGGCCTCTCAAGCTTAGCCTCCATGAAAAGACTGAACTCTGGGCCGCTGAGCAAGCATGGAGAGCCCATCAAGAAGTACTCGGGCCCGCAGTCCGGGGCAGTCACACCAGTTAACCGCCAGACCTCAGGCCCGCTTACACCGTTCCTCCCCACAACGGGCCTCATAACTTCCGGGCCCATCTCATCTGGCCCACTGAACCACTCTGGGGCACTGAGGAATGCAAGTGGGTCTATGAAGCTGCAGGGAGGCTCGTCTGTGGGCAAAAACATGGCTGTGACAACTATTGGTCAGGAGAATATTAGCCACTCGTTCATGGAGAACTTCCCGAGGCCCATTTTGTGGGGGATAGTCATGCTTTTTATGATGGGCTTCATTGCTGGGGGATTTATACTTGGCGCGGTTAACAATGCTATTCTTCTAGCTGTTTTGGTAGCGTTGTTCTGCCTTGCTGTCATTTTGTTAGTTTGGAATTTGTGCTGGGCGAGAAAAGCTGTCGTTGGATATATTGCCGATTATCCGGATTCTGAGCTCAGAGCTGCTAAAAATGGCCAATTTGTCAAAGTCACCGGAGTATGCATCGATTTTTTTTTTTTTTAGTTTATACCGTTTCATCTTATCTATTATATTCTTTTACGACCTATATTATCAGACAACCTTTATTTTAGTGCAATGAATGTCCAAGATCCGAGTTTTTGGGAACTCAGTCGAAGAAGTGTTTTTAAAAACCCTGCATGTACATGCAAAGCCGTTGTTACTAGATAGTATACATAACCTGATCAATCATAATCAGATTTGTAGTGATTTTTTATCGATCTTTTGTTTTTATATTTATTTGACTCAAGAGTTGTCTATATTCATTTGGAAGGTGGTCGCGTGCAGTAATGTTCCTCTCAAGTCATCCTTCCAGAACTTTCCAAGATGTGTGTTCACATCTTCAAGCTTGTTTGAGTACCGTGGATGGGGTTCCAAGTGGGCGCTTCAATTTTCAGAGGTTTGTTCACAAACTTATTTTGACGATGAGCTAAAAACATTGAGATGATTTTACGTAGAATGCCCCCAGATATTTAGCCTAATCATGAAATCATAAGTATCTCCCTTTCAACTATTACAAAAAACTCCTTGACATTTGCATCACAATAGGCAGATTTTGTATTTTTTTTTTACCTCCCTCAAAGTCACATGCCTTGTTTTGTTTGTGTTATCTTCAACTTTTTTATGTCTTCCCTGTTTTTCTTCATTTCCTATGGTAAATTTGGTTTTGAAGCTGATGTTATGCCTATGCATGAAGTTAGTTCTTTATCCGTATGCTTAAACTAGAGGCACTACTGCTAGTGCTAGCAATTATGATTGGTTTTGAAGTTGAAGTGCTTCATATTCAATATTCCTCGTCTTAAAATGGTTCTTTTTCCTATTCATCATCATTTTCCCCACTTCTTTGCAGAAGCATGCTGTCGATTTTTACATCTCTGATTTCCAGTCTGGTCTGAGGGCATTGGTTAAAGCTGGGTATGGTGCACGTGTGATTCCTTATGTAGATGAAAGTGTTACCATTGATGTTGATCCTTCCAAAAACGATACTCCTCCCAAATTCATCCATTGGTTGGGAGAGAGAAATCTCTCTCTCCAGGATCGTTTAATGCGACTGAAAGAAGGGTAAGCACTGTGAATTTTAAAAAAGATGCCAAATAAAGAGGAAACACTTGTTATAAAACCTCAAATGCTAGAAAAAACATTAAAACCGAAAAAAAGTCTAGTAAATCAATTTTATTTATTTATTTATTTTTAATGTTAAACTATCGGTTTTTGGCAGGTCGATCAAGGAAGGAAGCACCGTGAGTGTGATGGGAATCGTTCAAAGGAATGAAAACATGCTTATGATAGTTCCTCCAAACGAGCCCTTCACAACTGGATGCCAGTGGGCCAACTGTACATTACCTGCTAGTTTTGATGGGCTTGTGTTGTGGTCTGATGATGCATCAGACGAAAATGTTATACCTGTGTGATATAGAAACTCCTGTTCAAAACAATCAAAACAAAATGACTCAATAACAATTGTTATATTGATATAGGGAAAGCGACTCCTTTCGGGTAGTCGTTATACAAATTTGTACTGTTGAAACTCGGTGTTTTATAACCTTATGGGGCAAAGACAGTCTATAGCCCTTTACTTTTCATTTCTTGTTCTTCAGATGTTGTAAAACTGTTTTATCTTTTATTGTACAGATTTTTTTTGTTTTGGGATTTTGAATGGTGTGGTATGAGTTTTGTTTGTTGCTGCAATTTTTTTACATTTTTGTGTGAGTTTTCCTGTGTTTGGTTTTTGCAGGGAAAGGTAAAGGAAATATTCAATACCCATGCTTTTGCTATTGGGTGTTTCATCTTTGCATGTATTGTAGTAATAAGGCATAGAAGAGTTAATTAAATGAAACGAGCAGCTTGTGAAGTTTCATTAAGTTTGATAAATAGGGTTTTTATGCAATTTAATGTTCTATCATATATTGGCTCGTTAGAATTCGTTCACTCGAGCTCGACTTGACTAGATAATGGCTCGAGCACGAGCTCGAGTAGAAGGAGCTCGAGGTCGACTTGGCTCATTTTTCAGCTATAGATAGAAAATACGTGCAGAATTAGGATTGTATGTTTGTAGCTTAATGATTATGGTTCAAGCTATAAAATGAACTGGTCCAGCTCGACCCTTGGTTGACCGAAACCGGGCCAAGTAAGGATTGGTCCGTTGGGCCAACCTGCAATCACACCGGCCAACCCATAATGACTCGTTCAAAAATCGGGTCTAGCCACCTGCAATCCAGTTGATTCGGGCATTGCCCAATTGAATTTAATTTTTAAGAATTTATGATTTTTTCAAATATATTAAAATTTGAAATTAAAGAGTATGCATATATAAATGCATATATCTATAACATATAATATTATCAAGATTTTTGAGGTATAAAGTATATATGAGTTATTATTTTTGCTATTTTTATGTATGTTCATAAAAAAAATAGTATAAGTAATTTCTGCATGTTTAAATTAAATATCCAGTTCAAAAATTAATATTCTCGATTTTCAAACAATGACTAGAATTAGTGATATTAAATTAAACGAGCATGACTCGGCTCGGCTCGATTTCGACTCATTAAGACCAAGTTCTGCTCGAGCTCGAGCTCATTTACAATTTGTTTGGTTAATGAAGCTCGTTAAGACTCGGAAAAAAATTTTTTGGCTCGTTTATTTAACGAGTTCGGCTCGTTAATGACTCGACTTGTTTACAAACCTAAATTATTTAGAAAAAACATTTTGTTACTGTTTTTTCTTAAAAATTTACCTAAAAAATTATTATAATAATTAACGATATTGTAAATATATAACGCATAAATATAAACACATATTCTGAAATTTCAAAATTTTAATAAAATTAAAAAACAATTACAAATATTTGAAAAATAAATTCCTGTTGGGTATTGGGATACATAAATCACACTGGTTTGCTGCATAATTCCAGCAGACCGTGACTATCTGTGTGCACGAAGAACATTTAACGCGGCAAAATCGCCATTGATGAATCCTCTTTCTCTCTCCCACTCCCAGTCCCTCTGATTTGCTCGACAATTTATCAAGCTACCCGAGTTGAAAATCTGACGAGAGAAGGTGGAACACGAACTAATGAGTTGATCAATGGCGAAGGCAAAACCTAGGACAATCAGGTTTGTTTTGGTGATTGTGGGGCTTTTGGGATTGTTTCTCATTGCAGATCTTCTATGGGCTTCATCATCTTCTTCTCCTGCCAATTGGGCTCTCGGAGATCCCAAAAATTTTGTGGTTCCAAAACCTTTTCACAGCAGTAATGGCTCGCTTGTCGCGCCAGACAAGGTATGTGAATTTCTTAGTCGAGTTTGGCTTGCTCTGCTAACCGGTGTTGATTTCATTAACATAATGGAATTTTAGCTTATTGGAAGTTGCTATAAGTGTTTGTGCTGGTTGAACAATGAATTTGTGGATGCACAAGCATCACTCTATTTTGTAGTGCATTTCGTGGTTTGGCAGCTTGATATGAGCTGATGATTTATTTGTTTGTTCATTTGGACTTAAGTTGGGCTTGATATCCCCAGCCATTTTTTCTGACAGGTGACGCCTAATCGAGATAAGCAAGATGCTGTTCCCAGGGTTTTATCGGCAACATTTGCTGATTTGCCAGCTCCCCAGTTGCAATGGGAGAAGATGAATCCAGCACCTGTTCCTCGTCTGGATGGTGCTGCTATACAGATCAAGAATCTTCTCTACGTTTTTGCTGGATATGGAACCATTGATACTGTGAGTAACACTATTTTGACATGTTCTCTTATCTATGTGTGTGCTGCTTGAGTAGTTTACAATTTAGATAGTGCTTATACTCCAATTGCACGCTATGCGTCATTAAGTATAGCGTTTCTGTACAATCTTTGGGTGGATCTTTAGTGCCTACCTTTACTGCCGCTGTTAGTATGTATAACAGATGCATAAAGGACTATGATTCAACTGATATCTAACATCTTGTGGATATACTGCACTATTAACTCAAGTTGTCACTAAATGACATGATACGGTATAATGATGCTATGGCAATCTTGTATTGACGACTATTGTGCTTGTATGTTGCAGTTTCTTTAAATTCTGTTTCTTTTCCTTTAGCTCCCTTTTCTTCCCTTCCATTTTTGCTTGTTTGCAAAATCTGATGGCCCTAGATTGATTTGTGTTTCTTAAGGTGCATTCTCATGTTGATGTATACAATTTCACCGATAACACCTGGAGTGGAAGGTTTGACATGCCGAAAGAAATGGCCCATTCGCATTTAGGCATGGTGACAGATGGAAGATATATTTACGTGGTTACTGGACAGTATGGTCCTCAATGTAGAGGGCCTACAGCACACACATTCGTACTAGACACTGTGACACGTAAGTGGAAATACCTGCCACCTTTACCAGTCCCAAGGTACCATCTTGTTATGCTGTTGCGCATTCTAGTGTCTAATAGTTGTATCTTGTGAGTTTTTTTATAGGTTTGTTTTTTGGCATCATAAGCTGTTGTCTCTTTACTTAATGCTAGAATTGGTATGCTTGCTTCTTCTTGGCCACCTGTTAGATCTTAATTGTAGGTTTATAAACTTGAATGAATTAATGTGATTTTCAATCATTTTTGCTCTCCAAATGATCATGAAACTATTGCTTTGTTAAGTATTTCTTCTTTGGAATGATGCTTCTTAAACTATTTTAGATTACTTGGATATCCTAGGTTTTTACAATAGAATAACATCTGTCAAATAACTAAATAAGTGAAAGGGTGTGATGAAACTCAAGAATACAACTTTTATATTTCATGTACATTAGGGAGAAGTTGCTTAGAAGTGTTCCACTTCAATGAGGCTTATTATCATGGTCCTTTCAGATATGCCCCGGCCACCCAGCTTTGGAGAGGCCGACTTCATGTAATGGGTGGTAGCAAAGAGAACAGGTATACGCCTGCATTGGAACACTGGAGTATTGCTGTGAAAAACGGCAAAGTTTTGGAAAATGAATGGAGATCGGAAATTCCCATTCCTCGTGGTGGACCTCACAGGTTTGTATGCTTTCCATCCAGAATTTGAGTTTACTACGTGTTGCCGAATTTCCGTTAGGTATAGATGAATAAGATCATTTTGCCCTCCTTTCAGCACTCGGAATTTGTTTATACTGTTTTGCTTTTATATTATTAAACACGTTACTAACTTGTTGTGGTAACATATTATTACCCTATTTAGTATATGATAAGCTCTCTGATACAGTGCCCTATTTAGTATATTTAAGTATCGAGTCCATCAGTTTCACCTCACTCATATTTCTCTATAAATAATTTAATCTACATAACCACACATTTTATGAGCAGGGCATGCTTCCGACATACTTGTAGGAGTATCTACCCTAAGCAAACATCTACAAATTTTAATAGGAGATGTATTTATTTTATTTTCTTTGGGAATTACATTACTTCAAGCAGATACACAACATCTGACACTCAGATGTGCCTACGAAGAAGAAATTCTGCAAGTGGGGAAACTGCTTGTTGAAAACTTGAATTTTAGTTCATTAGCCATTAGCTTCAAATATGCCATTTGCTGATTGATAAATGGGTTTGCGTAGAACTCATCCCCAAAAGCTAGCTCAAAGGAGAGGATGCCCAATCCTCACTTATCGGACAAACATAACTTCTAACACTGATTTAATCCATAATCAAAGTCACATCAAAATTCAGTCTAATTATACTTATAATTTCAGATGAAGAATTTTCCTTCACGGATATGATCTTCATTTGTCTATGAATTATTGCATTAGGGCTTGCGTCGTGTACAATGACCGTTTGTATACTATTGGTGGTCAAGAGGGTGATTTCATGGCCAAACCCGGATCTCCAATATTTAAATGCTCACGTCGCAATGAGGTAATACAACTCAAATTTTTAAAATAAATCCATCAACTCAAATGCTTGGCAATAATCATCACAAATATTGACAAAGTGTGACAACCGACATAAATTTTCATATGTATCTGTGCAGATTGTATATGGCGACGTGTACGTGTTAGATGATGATATGAAGTGGAAAATGCTACCCCCTATGCCCAAGCCCGATTCTCATATCGAATTTGCTTGGGCAATTGTAAACAGCTCCATTGTCATTGTTGGAGGCACCACGGAGAAGCATCCCGTTACCAAGAAGATGACATTAGTTGGAGAAATATTCCGGTTCGACTTTGATACACTGGTAATCTTTTTAATTCAAAAGCACTTCTTGTTATCTTTTGTAATCTTTAAAATACTATCAGGAAATTTTTCTTTTGTCAAATAGTTTTGACTTTAACATTTTTGCTCGTGTTTGTATGACTGTATTAATGCTTGTCGTATTTTGTTGGCAATTTGGAAAATTACAGAAGTGGTCTGTGATCGGGAAGCTTCCTTATCGTGTGAAAACAACACTCGTTGGATTTTGGGATGGAATGCTGTATTTTACATCGGGCCAACGAGATAGAGGGCCCGACAATCCTGCACCCAAGAAGGTGATTGGGGAGATGTGGAGAACGAAGCTTATATTATGAGCATTTTTTTTTTCTTTTTTTCAGTTGGTGGATAATAATCTGCCAATTTAACAAACAAGAATCACTTTTGAATCAATTCATCAGCCTATTCTTTTTATTTTTACATTCTTCCATTTTTTTCAATTTACAGGCACACACATCATATCATTCTGTTGTAGTTTTAGGCTTTAGCATAACAAAATGCATGAACCAGTGAAGTTGGAGTCGGTTTTTAACGCTGCATGAACACACAGACATACACATTTGTTGCGTGTTAATCCGACGAGTAAAATACCAATGACTGCACTGGGATTTTACCGGTAGAGTTGAATCCTCCTTGTATTGATATGAAAATTATATCTTTATGTTGCATTTGGTTTAATCAGCTTAATAATATTCACAATTTTTTCCCTTAGTTTTTGATCAATATCATCATAGATACCCAGAGCCAGAAGATTATTAACTGAGAAACTTGAAAGGAACATATATACACAGAGTGAAATGAAATCCTAAAAACAATACACAGATGATGGCCACCACTATCAGTTCCATATAAGAAGTTAAAAAAAGAAGCTCATTTATCAACATCTCCATCTTTAACAATCAACCACAAAGGATAAAAACCACTCACCCATAATTTTTACCAATACCTACAACATTTAGATACACAACCCTACAACTAACCCAAACTAATGCTCCCCATAAGAAAGCAAACCATATTTACAAAACACCAAGCAACCCCAGATAATTTGACACAATTCCACTCCCCACTTAAAAGCCTATGTCTACAACACAAGCTCCACCAAGAAACTCTCCCCATCAAACCTCAGCCCAGACGGGTCGGCAGGCCGGACCAACCCGTCAACCATCCCTCCATACACGTACAAAAACCGACCCGTCTCATCCACACACGCCCCATGAAACGACCTGCAATCAGGCCTCTCCCCTCTGGACTCGACTCTCCTCCACAGCCTCCTAGAAGACGAGCCCACATCCAACACCCAAAAGTCGTCCTTCCGGTTCCTATACGAGTCCTCCCCACCGTAGATAAGCAGCCTCTGGCCCACGATGAGGCTAGCCGAGTGGCCCACCCGAGGCAGAGAGAGCCCACGAGGCACGCTCCGCGGCTCGAACGCCAGCTGTCTCCACTCCCATCGCGAGTTCAGCAGCCAAACGTCCCCCAAGACCTCGAGCCCCGTTCCCCTTCCTCCGAACAGTACAGTCCCGGCGGATTGGCCCACATGGGTCAGCGTGTGGCCCGATCTCGAAGGCGGGCTGGGCCGGGCCGTGATTTGCCTCCAAGTTTTCGAATCCGGGTCGAGGATCCACGTGTCGCCAAGCCGAGTTCCAGATGGGCCGATGCCTCCGTGGACGAGCACGTACTTATTGTCGATGCAGCAGGCTGCGTGGGCCCCACGGGGAGGTGGGGAGATGGGGCCGGAGTCGAGGGGCTGCCAGGAGAGGTGGGCCGACGGGCCCACGAGGCGGCCGATCCAGGTGTCGTTGTGGCGTGTGCCGAGGTCGTTGATGCCGCCGAAGAGGACGAGGGAGCCGCGGACCGAGACGCACGAGTGGCCGAACCGGCCGCCCGGGCTGCCTGAATCGGTCTTGTGCCATCTGAGGGGTAGGGTTGGGTTTTCGCTCAAGTTTGCGACCCATGTGTCGTCGAGGTGTCTGCCTGAAAAGGGAGCAACAAACAGAAAGAGGAAAAAAAAAAAAAAAAAAANAAACAATGATGGGTTAAAGAGTGATATTCATACACACACAAATATTGCTTGAGGTGAAATGGGATAATTCTTCTATCAAAATGCAGCAAGGATTGAGTTGCAGAACAACCTGTGAAATCAAGAATGGCTTTTAAGTTTTAAGCAATTTCAGGCAAACTAAAGATGCTCAAGAGTCAAGAATTCAGACCCTAATTGAGCTCATATGCTTTTGAGCAGAAAGCAACCTTAAAAACTAAGATATAACCAGTGAAGATACTCAAATTTTTCCTCCTCACCAAACAAAACCATCCATAGCAACAAACAGAAAAAACAATGGGTTAAAGAGTGAGATTCATACACAAATAAGATTGCTTGAGGTGAGATGATTCTTCTATCAAAATGCAGTAAGGATTGAGTTGCAGAACAGATTGTGAAATCAAGACTGGCTTTTAAGCAATTTCAGGCAAACTAAAGATGCTCAAGAGTAAAGAATATCGACCCTAATTGAGCTTATATGCTTTTGAGAAGAAAGCAACCTTAAAAACTAATGGAGATATAGCCAGTGAAGATACTAGATTTTTCCTCCTTACCAAACAAAACCATCCATAGCCATGTAACTCAAGCTCATCCACAAGGAATAGTTCCACTCACAAATTCAATTCTATGTACAAATAGGTATCTATTTAAGCAGCAAGATTGAAATTTTGAATTTTCACTGACCTCCTTCACACCCCCCACCAAAGAGAACCAAACACCCAGAAACTAAATTCAGCGAATGAGAAGCTCTGGGCGTCGGCAAAATCCCATCGCCATCTGGGCCGCTCCTCAGCCTGCGGCAGCTCACGGAGTCCAACCCATAAACCCGCCGGTACAACTCCCTCCATGGATGCCGCTGCAGGCGATCGGAACCCCTATTCAGGGCGTTGACAGGCGTTTGCCCCCAGTCCCTCCGGCAGATGGATTCCCAGAGGGAATCGGAATAGGCCAAAGTCTTGAACTTTTTGCAGGTCATGGAGAAACATAGGATCGATTCGACCGGCAACAGGAGCAGGATCGAAAAGAGCTGGTCTTGAGGGATTTTTGTCACCGGCGACGGCGGCGATGATCCTCCATTATTGGTGTTTTCTGCCATGGGGCTGAGTCTTTTCTGTTGTTTTGTGCCGATGGGTTTATATTCGTCGTCGTCTTTTGATTCTTGTTTTCTTTCACCGCTCATTTTTCCTTTTTTCTTTCTCTTTTTTTTTTTAACTGCTTGCTGGTCTTTTTGTTTGATGGAACATCTGTAAATGGTTAAGACGCCATAATTACTCCGTGATGCTTTGAAAATTTTGTCCATTTTGTGGAAGGTGGGCTACTATTTGAACAAATATATATATTTATAATATTAAATGTTATATTTATATTTTTATTTGTATTATTTTTTAAAATATTAAATTTAATAATAAAATAATGTATATTTGTAAAAATAGCATGTCAAGTGTTATGCAAGTAGACCAATTATGCCTTTTTACTCAATGTGAAAAAATACATAAATTACTAAATTACTGTATGCGTCGGTCTTTCTATTAAAGAGGTCATAAATTTGAGAGCGATCTTGCTTTGTCGTAAGGATTGGACTGTGTTGGATTGTTTATTAGTTTTTTCATGTGCTTTTTTAGAGTCTGTAAGTACTTATTTTTATGTTCGTCAGTTTACTCTCCATTGTTAGAGTTATAATCTTTCCTCTGGTGTGGATTAGTTGTTTTTTGTTTGTATTTTGATTGTTTTGTTCCTTTTGGTGGATCAAGTAATTCCAAGAGTAGAATGATGTATCAATTTTGCTATGTAGCCAAATGTTATATCCAAACCAAAATTAACATGCTGTTCATACGCACTTGTAATTTCAACTATTCATGTGTAACTTTACTACTAGAAGCCTACAAGTTACTATGGAGTTGTCAAAATCAAATGGGCTGTGGCTGGTCTCCCTGAAAGAAGAAACGAAAACAGAAGCAGCCAATTAGATTATTCCAAGTGTTGAATAATTTTGTCACCATTGTCTTTCTGTATGGGCTCGTGACTCTGTACCCCCCCAACAATATTCTCTGTGGGCGTACCCACACACTCTATTGAGCACCTTCCCACCTGTCATGGACAGTCAAAAACATCATTTGAGACTCGGCCCCGCGACAGATCGACCCGGACCTAATTAATGCAAAGGCAAAAACTTTGTTTGAGTTACACTCAAATCGACAAGAACATGGTTCATTTGACTCGAGTAACCCCATCATTAACCTAGTGATCCGGTTACTTGAAGGCAATCGGGGCAATGCTCGATACCTACGAACATTGGTTAAAAGTATAACCTTTATCTAGATGATTTCATCTTACCTTGACCATGCTCGATATCTAAGAACATTGTTTAGATGTATAACATCTCCCGCTTATTTCAAAGAACATTGGTTAGAAGTATAACATCTCTCGTTGATTTCATCTTACCTTGACCCTGCTCGATAACTAAGATTGGATAAGAGCACACCATCTCTCAATATGATTTCATCGAAATCATAGTTAGTGATTAGAGCTGTTAAATTAAACGAGTCGCTCGTGAGCTCAGCTCAGCTCGTTTGATAAACAACTTGGCTTCATATAATTTTCGTTAAAACTCAATTCCGACTCGTTAATATTTATAAACGAATCGAGCTCGTTAACTCTACAAGTCAAGCCGAGCTCGTTAAGGTCTCCAGATTGAACTCGAGCAGCATGAGCATGAGCTTGAGCTCTACTCGTTTACACCCCTCTTAGTGAGTGGCCAGGGTTTTTTTTACCACAAACTTCACATGCACCCTCATGGGTGGCCGGGTACTTGAATGATTACAATTTTATGGTAAAAAACATTATGGATTGGATCAACTTGGAGTGTGGAAAGAAAGTCCTAGACACAAGCCCTAAGATGTATCTCAACACACACACACACACACACACATATATATATATGTGTGTGTGTGTGTGTGTGTTGAGATACATCTTAGGGCTTGTGTCTAGGACTTTCTTTCCACACTCCAAGCTTTGAAATGTCAAACTCAACAAAATGGTGGAAATTCTTTGAGAGTGATGCTCTGTCTATCCAATTTAAGAATTTTAATACCACTTGACAATCAACAAACGTGTAACGGTCCCCACATGACTATGCATAGATGCACTAGATGCTTATATACACGCCTGATACATATTTCATTCTGCAAATTTCATCCACAATCTGTGGCAATGGGCCGGGCCGGCACAAACCTAGCCCACAAGCAATGCTTAAAGTCGGGTCAGGCCCGCCTTTTTGGGACCAATAAACAGAAGCCCAAGCCATCCTTTTTTGGGCTGGGTTGGGCCAGGCTCGAAATTATCGCGTGAGAATACACACTCTCGACACGTCCAATATATCATTCACAATGACTTCATAAGGGAACCATCTGCTACTCCACTTTTTTGGGCTGGGTTGGGCCAGGCTCGAAATTATCGCGTGAGAATACACACTCTCGACACGTCCAATATATCATTCACAATGACTTCATAAGGGAACCATCTGCTACTCCATAAATTTACACATCGTTTTTTCCTTCTAACTTCAGGATATATTAGATATATGAAGATAGAATTTAATTCTAAGCCACAATTTATTGCACAATGCCTCCAAAATTCATCACAAGGCCACTCATCAAACTATAAAACTACTTTGACATACCTCAAGCAGTTCTGGTTCTCAAATATTCAGACACCACAAGAAGTCTCTTATTAGCTCACACATTTCACACACAGTCGATCTGCAAATCCAATGACGTTATCATCACAGCTTCCTTTTCACTGTCTTAGTACACACGGTTAAACCAGAGTGCATTTTTCTCATTCTTGCAAATTCGGTATTCGGCCTCTATTGATTATATTCCAAAGCGCTTTCTTTGCCTCGTCTAATGTTTCAACACCCTGCAATTCTTCAAATGAAATCCTCTGAACGTTAAACTGCAAAAC